AGAGAGGTGGAGGGGAGAGGCAGAGAGAGGTGGGAGAGAATCTGTTCTGTCAACGCAGAGCCTGACTCAAGGCTCCATACAATGAGATCATGGCCTGAGCCAAAATCAAGAGTCAGACCCTTAACCAGCTGAGCTACCCCACCCCAAGAGCACTGTTTAAATCGCCCAACAAATAGGGCTTTCCCAAGTTTGAGCTATGACCTTGAACCCAAACCCCACTCCTTTGTTTTGGTAGTTATATTTTCTGGTATTTTTTTCCCTTCAGCAAGTCATTCAAAGAAGTACATTATTAGCTCTTTAGAGTTCAGAAGTGAATTTGCTATCATATGAAAATTATTGGATGTTGAAGTTTTAATCTAAATGATTTGTGGACCCACAAGACCAAATTATAATCAGCAGGTTTCTGGGTAGGCAATGAATTGGAACAAAGGGACTTGGATATTCGGAGTCTTTTACTTTGGACCTCAAGTGTATAATTGGATTATTCATTATCTTTGATTTATGACATCATTATAAGTCCATGCATTTGCTTTTTACATTAACCCTTTTATTTAGTTCATTTTAAAACTACAGTCTCATTTTTTTAATTAAAAAAAATTTTTTAATGTTTGTTTATTTTGAGAGAGAAAGTGGGGGAGGGGTAGAGAGAGGGAGAGAGAGAATCCCAAGCAGGCTCCATGCTGTCAGCACAGAGCTGGATTTGGGGCTTGATTTCAGAAACCGTGAGATCATGACTTGAGCTGAAACCAAGAGTCAGGTGCTTAACTGACTGAGGCACCCAGCCGCCCCTCTACAATTTCATTTTTAATTGATAACAGTCTTTACCAAATTTTAAAATTTGAGATGAAATTTACATACAGTGAAATGCACACATCTTAAAGTGTATAGTTTGATGAGTTTTGACAAATGTATAACCTTGTGTAACCAACCACTCAATCAGTATATTGAACAGGAACTCCCCCTGGCCATTCCCCCCCCCCCCCCCCCCCCCCCCCCCCCCCCCCCCCCCCGCCTCCCGGATCATTTGCCACTTCCTGCAAGTAACTGTTGTCTTACTCTCTATCACTGTAGATTGCTGCTTGTTCTTGATTCATATAAAAGAAATCATGTAGTACATAGTTGTTCATCTCTGGCTTTTGCTCAGCATAATGTTGCATGTGTCAGTTCAGTCTTTTTTATTGTGGAGTAATTTTCCACTGTATTTGGAGTAATATTGTATTAAGTGTGTAAGGATCTTTTTAGAACAAGGGATTTTCTGAAGCCTTTGTATTCAGCCTTACTGTTTTTAAAAATACTTTTACCCAGCCATGAAAGTTGACATAGTTTTATCAACACAGATGCTCATTAAATTGGGCTGCCTCTAAAATAACTCAAGCCATGGGCAAGTCAGAATTTTAATAAATATGGAAATTCTATTTTAATATTAGTTCCACTTCAGTTTGCTGTTCTTGACTCTTCTGTGTAGTCCTTTGAAGTCCAACTGGAATTTTTTGAGACTTACTTTGTGGCCTTGCATATATGGCCCATCCTGATGAATATAGTGGATTTGAAAAGAATGTATATTCTGCATTTTAATTTTTTTTTTTAGTATATATTGATTTAGGTAAGGATGGTTGATTATATTGTTCAAGTCTTCTATGTTATTACTGGATTTTTTCCCCTACCTTTGCCATTCCAAAAGAGGGTTGAAAAGGAAGAACAAATGACAGGTGGGACAAACAAAAAGGACAGGACTGTACACTTACATCTAACCATATCAACAATTACATCAAATACGAATGACTTAATTTATGTAATTCTTCTTTAATTTTGTTGGGTTCTGCCGTATGTATTTGGAAGTTCTGTTATTAGTTGCAAAAATATTTGTGATTGTTACGACTTCATGATGAATTGACTCATCGTTATAAATATCTCTTTCTGGTGATACTTCTTTGTTGAAAGCTATTTTTCTTATATTAATATAGTCACTCCTGCTTTATTAGGCTTACTATATATATATATGATACTTCATTTTTCATCCTTTTACTTTATCTTTCTTTATATTTAAAGTACATATCTATTAACTGCATATAGTTAGGTTTGTCTTTTTTTTTTTTTCTTTTCTTTTTTCTTTTTAGCCAGTCTGATAATCTCTGGCTTTCAATAGTGTTCATTCTGTTTATATTTAATGTAATTATTTATATGATTGAATTTAAATCTACCATCTTACCATTTGATTTCTATTTCTCCCATCTGTTTATTGTCCCACCATTACTGCCCTACTTTTGGATTGACGATTTTCTTAGTATTCCATTTCACTAACCCAATTGGCTTTTTACTTACATCTCTGTAGTTTGTAATTTTAATGGATTATATCATATATTCTTAGCATAGCCTACCATGAATTAGTATTAAGAAGTTTACCCCCTTCTTTCCTTTGAGCCAATAAGATTTGGATAGCTAGGATCTACTCTGTATCCCAAAAAGATATATAAATGTGTATCTCATGTATTATGGTTCCCTTTACTCAAGAGCTGAATTCCCTCCAGTTTCTACCAGCTTGTGTTTGCTCTCCAGTTTCTTCAAAACTGTTTTTATATTTTATCCAGTGTTTTGTATTGCTATTTGTGGGAAGGTTTGTCCAATAAAGTCTATTCCACATTATCAGAAGTGAAATTGCCATTTTGTCATTTTTAATGATGTACCAAGCACTCTTCTGAATCTATTACCTAGCTCAAAAACTTGACAGTAACCTTTATTCATCTATATAACTCTTCTTCTCAGTCTATCCCCTCTATCGCCCGATATCCCTGACTTGAGTTATCCACCATCCTGAATTTCATGTTGCCATTTCTTCTTTTCTTTTTGTCTAGTTATGTTGAATCTGTATGTATTTCTAAAATCTATTTATATTTGTATTGTTTTAACTTACAAAAATTTTGCTGAATTTATTGGAGACTTATAATTTGCTATTATACTATATAGATTTAATCATACTACACATACATTACTTTGGTTTGTTTTGACAGCTGTATGTAATTCCATTGTGTAAATATACCAGTTTATTCATCTCCTCTTGCGTTGGACATTTGGTTTGTGTCCACATTTTCAGTCCTATGAACATTTTTGCATGTTCATGATTATGTACTTCGGAGTAAATATTGTTAGATTGAAAATTACTGCATTTAATTGTATATGATAGTGCCAAACTGTTATTCATAAAGTTGTTAAGCCATTTCACATTCCCACCGCCATTCCGTAAGAGACTCTGTGAGGCTACATTTTCTGTAATACTTGGCAGTGTCAGTTTGTTGTTGTTTTTTTTAACCAGTTGACTGGGTATAAAACGGTATCACATTGTTTGTCTAAAATTCCTTGTACTAATGACATTAAGCCTCTTCCTATGTTTATTAGCTGAAGGTGTATTCTGTTACACGTCTGTTCGAGTCAACCCTGCTTCCTTTTTTTAATTGATGTGTAGAAATTCTATACTTTAAATACCATTGAACTAGACCATCTATTCATGACTACTTTTCTTTTTAATTTTTTTTTAACATTTATATATTTTTGAGAGACAGAGACAGAATGCGAACGGGGGAGGGGCAGAGAGAGAGGGAGACACAGAATCTGAAGCAGGCTCCAGGCTCTGAGCTGGCAGCACAGAACCCAATGCGGGGCTTGAAACCCATGAACTGTGAGATTACGACCTGAGCTGAAGTTGGACGCTTAACCGACTGAACCACCCAGGAGCCCCTATATGTGACTACTTTTAATTTGTTAAAGATGTCTTTGGCATTTGCATCCATCATTCTCTCAGACTACCCTATTTAATTTGCAAACCTTTCCATTTTTCCTGCTCCATTTTTCCCTTTTATCACATACTACATTTGCAATGTTGTATACATTTTTATTAGCTATTTTACATGTAGTAGTAGGCTGCTACTACATGTTAAGTATAGAGGTTGAGAATAAGCATTTATAAATATTTATTGAAGATAAACAAATAATTATTGCTTTATTTAGGCCTTTTGGGAGAATTTACATGGGTGCTTAGTCTAGTATCTGAAGTGCATTAATTAATATTGGAAATCACATAGTCTTGACTTTTTCTTTTTAATAATCAAATTTTTTTGCCAAGATAATTTCAATTATATTTTTTCACAGGTAAAAGAATGAGTAGATTATGGCATAATTTCAGCATAAACCTATTTTTCAGATAGACTCAGATAAACAGAAATTTAATATGTATTATATAAGACCTAGACTAAAACCTGGTCTTTGCTCTATATTGGCTGTGTTTCTGTTGCAAAAATCAACAGACATCTTTGATATTATCTATCTAATGGAGACAAGTTTATTCATTTCATAGAGTTGTTGTCATGATTAAGGATTATGAGTAATTTATGTAAATGTATAGGGACCACTGTAGGCACTCAGTACATGGTAGCTGTTGTTGTATTACAAAATCCCAGTAGGTGTGTGCAAGTGTGTTTAGTGTATATGCTAATAAACTCTTCTCGTAGGCACGTCTTACGGTAAATCCTTATACGGGGGAGGGGTGGGGGGGGGGCCAAAATTGGAAGAGCAGAAATTGGGTGGCGCTGGTGCAGGGAGAAAAAAATCTGTCCACTGAGCATTGCTGATGGCCCCTCAGGAAGTTTCCATCAGTATCTTCAATGCTTTTCACAGAGACTTAGAGCTCTGTAGAGTATAGCATGGAAACCATTCTACTGGCTGTTAAACACCTTGAGTGCAAGAACTGAAACTTCCTTATTTTATTACCTAATGGAGCATGTGCTCTTGCAGGACGGTAGACGGTGGGCCACAGCATGTTAAGCGAGCCAGGTCATTCAGCTCTGCCATTTCAGAAGCTCTCTCTCCGTGTTTGACATCTAGGTGGGGTTGCAATTTGAAGTTGAGTTACCATACCCTCCAGGAAGCACGTGTCACGTAAAGGATGTAATGGCGACATCATTGCTTTTTCAGCTCTAGGTTGGAATTTGCCCTTGACAGATAACAACATGATGAGTGATGCAAGTGACATGCTGGCTGCGGCGCTGGAGCAGATGGACGGGATTATAGCAGGTAATCTTCGTCCTCTGAAAGGTGGCATCACCACATTGACTCTGCGCTCTTGGCTTTTTCATTGCAACACTTTTATTCCCTTTCCACTTGTTTATTTATTTATTTTTTTTTAATTTTTTTTGTTTTTCAACGTTTATTTATTTTTGGGACAGAGAGAGACAGAGCATGAACGGGGGAGGGGCAGAGAGAGAGGGAGACACAGAATCGGAAACAGGCTCCAGGCTCCGAGCCATCAGCCCAGAGCCCGACGCGGGGCTCGAACTCACGGACCGCGAGATCGTGACCTGGCTGAAGTCGGACGCTTAACCGACTGCGCCACCCAGGCGCCCCTCCACTTGTTTATTTTCATGTATTGGCTGCCTTTAGATTCCACATAGTTGCATCTTGGTCCCTCTTCTCCATTTTATACATTTTATTTTAAAATGCCAAATTCCATTTCCATCCTAGGTTTCTGACTCAAGGATAAAGAAACAGCATCTCATGTGATTTTTGTGCAGGTAGTCTGTGGACCACACTTTGGGGGATACTGCTCTACCCTGTATCCACGGATATTCTGATCTGTTCCCTGATCACTTTCCCACCAATGACTCTCACTTTGTATTTGCTTTCTCAGTTCTCTGCTAAGCTTCAGGTCTCTAACTGCCAACCAGGTACTCCTTTGAAATAGCCTATATGCATATCCGTGTCATCATGTACAACTTTGAGCTCGTTATCTTTCCTCAGAAGCCCCTCTAGTAGTCTTTATCTCTAATTTCATAACCTTCCATCCACACAGTTTCCTAAATAGAAATTTAAGTCATTCTAGACCTTTGTCCCTCATTGTCCCTATTTAAGTGAAGTTCTATCCATTCTACCTCCTTTCTGCCGTTCCCTTTTATCCTCTCTAAAACCTGTCTGTGCTTACCACTGTCTGGCTTTATCCAAGTAACCCTCACACTTGATGTTCTTGAGGCTCTTGCTTTCTCGCTCTAGTCCGTCATTCTCTGGACCACCAGAATGTCCTTTATGAAACACACATCTGGTTGTATTACTCCCTTGTTAAGAACCTTCAGCAATACTCTATTATGGAGATGGAGCAAAAACAGTGTAGACCATTGCCTCCTTGTTTTCTCTTCATGACCAAGGAGACTGACTAGCAGGTGAACCTTTTCAGTCCCTTGTGGTCTTCCAGGGGTAGTGGCTACCTAAGGTCTCATGTCACATTTTGTATTTTGTCACAGGAGAAATACATTTATGTATTTAGGAACTTAGTGTAATGAAGAGAAGGTTGAGTGGGCAAGTGGGTAGGTAGGTCAGGGTCAAGGTGGAATTTGGCTTCTACCGCTTCTCAGTTCGAGCTGTCTTGGCCCCTGTTGCTTACTTTTCTGGACATAAATTTGACCCTGCTCTGTTTTAGTGGTTCAGAGAAACCAAATGTGTTTTCTTGTCAGAGGGTCTTCTCTTGAGGGAAGTGGCAGGTCACACTTTGGCCTCCTTTGTATATCCCGGAGACCAGATTTCATGTTGACCTCCTGTGTAGATTAGACTACATCTTGAATAGTGTATTCAGTGCTTGGAATATCAGTTTCAAAGAGGTTATTGGTAAACCTTACCTAGAGGAGGAGGTGACCACGAAGGTAAAGAGTTTGACCCATCTGGCAAGGAAGGAACTGGTTAAGTTTAACCTAGAAAAGTATATTCTTGCTCAGGGCATGATATATACTGTCAAACAGTTGAAGGACTGATAGATGTCTTTCTCTGTCACAATTTCAAAAAATATAATGAGAACCATTTGTAAACTGTTACCAGAGGTTATAACCTTATACTCTTAGTAGAACTCAAGTCAAGAGAAGTGGTATTTCTAGGACAGTAGTTGAGGCTTTATATTTTACATACTCCACTAGATGAATGTGTTTGTACCTTAGCCCTGGCAGGGCTTGAGGACCAACATTAGCGTTCTTAAGAAAATCAGATTTCCCAGGTCCTACCTCACAGTGAGTCCATCAAGTAGCTTTGTGGGTAGAACCTGGTTAATGTTCTCAAATTAACATCGGTAGTTCTCCTCCTCAGGTAGGACGGAGGGGGGAGATAAGACTACAAATATTTGAGGAGTTTTTCTAAATATGCATCTCTCCCCCATCCCCGCCTGTTTTGTGATGGAGACTTAACAGAATGGAGGGTCAGTGTGGGCACATCTGTTTTTAATAATATTAATCAGGTGATCCTAATGCTTAAAACTGCTGGAATAGGACTTTTTAATGCTTTCCTGTTCCTCCATTTCCCTGACAGACTCTCCTCAATTTATATTTTTCTGGATTCTCTTCTCAGCCTTACATGGTTCTGGAGGAGATTGATTCAGAGGGTTATGTGAAGCATTTAGCAGTGGGCCTAGCATATCAATGGTTGCCATTATTGTGGTTCAACGCAGGTTTGGGTCCAAATCATTTGGTCCAGTATTAAGCAATGTTGGTGGGATGGACTAACTGAAAGAGAATTCCTCTCCCTACCGTTGGAATTGATCAAGCTGTATAGCCACTGGAGAGAGAATTTACACATTGGTTCACAGTTTTCTTCCAATGAGAAGACCTTCAGATTAATATGGTGATAGCCTAAATATAGTAATTATTGATACTTAAGTATAAAGCTAGTATGTATAGTTGATAGACCAGGAAATAAAAATCAAAGAGATGAAGAGGATATATATGCATGCTTTCAGAATGGGCTGTGGGTTCGTTATGGGGTTTTTAAGTAGTAGAGTGCTTTCCCTTATAAGTAATAGGAAACAGAAATGGCTGTAAAACTTTTTAAAGCTGATATTAGCAAGAGTATTTGATGTTAGGCTGCAAACAAAATCATGGGAGAAAATGTTTATACACACAGGCTCATGCATTTATACACAAATGTATATATGTAATTCATTGAACTCCCCCAAAGTTTAAATTCTGGTAAATTAACTGGGAGCTGGCCCTGTTACATTTGACATTATGCTATGCAATTTCCACCTCAATGTGCAACTTCTCTGCAGGGAATTTCAAGACTTTAGGAAACTTAAAATTTATATTTTCAGCTGATCTGCTACCTTCTTAGCAGAAGGTACCTTATTTCCATGAGGTCAGCACATCCTTCACCAAAGCCCATCACATTCTTACCATACTACACAATTGGCCTCTCTATTAGGTATTTGATGATTGATATTTACCATCAATTATATGGTTTTATTTTTGTACCAAGAATCTATGACTTGGAAAGATTTTCATGACTGAATTATTTTCTTTTTCTTGTTGCTTGTTTTGATTATTCCTCACTGTGACCTGACTTGCTTTGGTCTATTATCTAAATCCTGTTTAGATAAATCCTGTTGCTCTCTGTGATTTTTTTTTTTTTTTTTTAACCTAGGTTCTAAGGCCTTGGAATATTCCAATGGAATTTTTGATTGCCAGTCTCCCACCTCCCCATTCATGGGAAGCCTGCGAGCTCTGCACCTTGTAGAAGACCTGCGTGGGTTGTTAGAGATGATGGACACAGATGAGAAGGAAGGTTTGAGGTGCCAGATCCCAGATTCAACAGCGGAAACACTCGTCGAATGGCTTCAGAGTCAAATGGTAGGTGTCTGCACGTTACAAGTCCCATGCGGTGAGTCTTTTGTTGCTTATTTCAAAATTTAGAACATAAAATAGTGGATTCGAACACGAAAAAAAAAAAGTATAGGGCAGCAGGTTTGCTGTGGTTTTATCCCTTAATGGATCCTAATTCTCTTTTAGGGTAATTTTTTAAAAAGTACTGTTAGTGTACATTTCACGGGTCCCAGGAGTTCACCTCCTGATTTTGCCCATAAATGTGGGCTAGCTTTCAAATTTTGCTTGGATGACATGCCGTGGCCTAAAACAAAGAGTCCTATAAGGGAAAAAACCTTGCGTGTGATAGATGCTTTCTCAGTAATAATGGGAAGTTCACTGTTAAAGGACCCAGTAGCAGCAGTTCTAAATAGGAAGTAGGGTGCATAGACGCCTCCAAAAGCAGCCGAGCTCTGTAGCAGTATTTGATATGAAGTGCCATCTAGTGGTGTGAGGTGGTCATTTCAGTGCTTGTGCTCGAGTTAAACTGTAGAATTGGACTTTAAATGGTGCTCTTATTCATTTGAACAATGAGGCCTCTTTCTAGGCATCCGTCTCAAAAGCTGGTGGTGTGGCCGACGTCCCTTTCCCTGAACACAATGGTAAATACCATGGTGTTAATATGTGTTGAACAAATAAAACCTAAAGAATACCGCTAAAAATACTCAAAGGAGAAGACAAGAAATGTGTTCATTTTGTAGGTTATACACTTAAAAATGGTAAAAATGATACATTTTATGTGTGTATTGTACTACAACCAAAAATAAAAACATTAATAGGGTGATAAAATTGGGGGTTGGATGGTATTTTGGCATTTACAGATGCTGGTGCTGGAGACCATAGATCTGAATTTTTATTTTGGCTCTGACCCTTAGAAGCTTGTATGATTTGAGGAAATTTTTTTTAAGCTGTTTGTGTCAGTTTCCTCATTTGTAAAATGAGGGAATGATAGTTTCTGCCACATAGGGTTGTGAGTCCCTTGAATTAATTTATGAGTGCTTGTCAGTGAACCTGGTGGGTGATTAGTCAAAAAAGGTAATACCGCGGAGTGGATTGTAGGGAGTAGAGGGAAAACCACGGGGTCCCTTTGCAAAGAGGCCAAGAGAGGGTTGGCTCCAATTACTAGGGGAGTTAGGTTACACATTACTCATACATAATTCACTTTTTTTGGGGGGGGGCGGGGAGAGGGAGAGAGAGAGAGAAAGTGAGTGAGCGAGAGGGGGAGGGGCAGAGAGGAGGCCGAATCTGCAGCAGGCTCTAGGCTCTGAGCTGTCAGCACAGAGCCTGATGTGGGGCTCGAACTCATGAATGGTAAGATCCTGACCTGAGCCAAAGTTGGATGCTTAACCAACTGAGCCACCTAGGCACCCCTGTGGTTCACTTTTTTGACAGAAGTACAGACATCTCTCTGACAGAAGTACAGACTGTGGAGAAGCTTCCACAATATTTTAGAAGCACTTATTACTGGTTACATGATTAAGATTTCATTTAGGTTTAATGATAGCCAACTTGGGAGTCCACATACTGAAGAGTAATACTAATGTTCTCAGTGCAACTGGGCATTGGCACTTCTAATTATTACTTTGCCTGGGCCAGGGAGACCCCCTGGTTTCCTGTAGGATGCTGGTTATTCCTTTTCTGCTAATTTCTACCACCTATTTAATTGTTTCATATGATCAGAAGCTGGATAAGAAAAAAGAGAAAATAGTAACACTAGTAGTTTGTTACTGATGAAGGGATGTTAAATCCATAAGAATGAATTTGTTTCAAGAAAATAGCTATAGCTGTAGCCTTCTAAACATGAAAAATTTTCTTTTAAGACTCAGAAGTTCCTCTCTGTGGTAAAAAACAAATCTATTGAATATGCCGTGTTTGTTCAATTACTGAGGTAGAATTCTCTGTTTTGATTGTGAAACATTATCACGTTAATACAAATATTGATGGAGAATGACATGCTTTATCAAGCTCCAAGTTTAAGAGGGCAAACAGAAAAAATATGTCGAACTGTTTGAGCCAAGCAATTAGTTTCTGTTTACTTTAGGTCTAACTCAGTGAGTTGCCGAGAGAATTCTTATAGTGCTTTCTTCAGTAGACACAGTTGAGGATCGTGACCTTGATCAGGTCATGCAGTCCCAAAAGTGTCTGGTTATTTGACAGTTTTAATAGGAGGCATTCTCAAAATCAGCAGAAATTACAAAAATGTAGTTTTCAACAAAGCTAGTGAAAATGTGGCTGGCAGAACTCCAAGTCAGGCGTCATGGCCCATGAGATAAGTAAGGAGAAGTGCACTGCTTCTGACCTGAGAAATCACCGCAGTACGTTTCTGTCTTAATCCTACATTTAAAAAAAGGCAGTATTAATTCTGAGTGTACCTTTTAAGAAAATTTGTGTAACCGGTTTCAGAAAAATAGAAACACTCGTGGGGGTACCTGGGTGGCTCAGTCGTTTAAGGCTCTGACTCTTGGTTTCGGCTCAGGTCATGATCTCCTAGTTTCGTGAGTTTCGAGCCCCACGTTGGTCTCTGTGCTGGAGGTGGCACGTAGCCTGCTTGGGATTGTCTCCCTCTTTCTCTTTCTCTTTCTCTTTCTCTCTTTCTGTCTCTCTCTCTCTGCCCTTCCCCCACTCACACTGTTTCTGTCTCAAAATGAATTAAAAAAAAAATAAAAGAAGTAAATAAAAACACACATTATTTAAAGAGTTCAGATGTGGGGCATGTTCTGTCCAGGGCTGCTGGCTGTTCTCCCCAGGTTCCTGATGCTCAGCTCCGTGACCCATTGCAACGCTGCCATCCTTGGATCCCCCGCTGCTCTCTGGCCAGCTTGTCTTTTCATGTGTGCCTCTGGGGGATGTTTTTTCAAGCCTTGGTAAACAAGGTGCATTCAGATTGTATTCGGTACATGGTCACAATTCTCTGAGTTATGCAGCATCTCGCTGAGACATCCTAGCTAAAGTTAAAGCTGCTCTTCCGCTCTGGTCCCAGGTTTCTGATAAACTCCCATGAAAAGTGTCCACAGGCACAGGAAAGCAAGTGGACCGAGTCAGCAGAATTCTTGAAGGAAGCCAGTGCAGTGTGATAAGTGAGAGATGCACTTTGAATGAAAACCCTGGCCACCGATGTTGGTTAGGATTGAATGGAAAGAGACTTGTCTGTTATTTCATGAAAGTGAGCAAAGAAAGAGGAAGTGGCAAGGAAAATAGGGACAGTATTTTTTCTTCATCTCGTGTTAGCCCTTCTCAAAGTAGAAGATTCTCTTGCTGTATCTGCATCCGGTCACATAGCTGGCTTTCAGCAAATGTTGAATAAATGAATGAATAATGTTGAATGAATGAATGAATAATTCTTCTACTAGAATAGGAGCTGGGCCTTAGCTTCTAGGCCTTCATCTTCTATTCTTCATCCTTCTGTAACTCAGAGGGCTTTGGCATATTCTTGGGACCGGGATAATGTAGTCTCCACATAAACCCCTCTCCCTACTTTGAGCATAGTGGTGCACATGAAAACAAAGTGAGGAAGGGCCAGTGCCCGTCTTCCCTACTCAAGTGAGGTGTCTAAAAGAATCTTTCGGAAGACACTAAAGAAATCCATCTCACTCACCCTGTGCTGGCCGTGGCTGCACAAATAAGGAGCTGTGCATGCATTAGCTGCATCATGGGCTAGCCAGTGTATCTTGGCACTTGATATTTTGGCAACAGAGATACCCAGATACTTCAAGGGAGGCTCCCTCCAGATGTTTCTAATGAGAACAGCAGATGAAAGCGCTTGGCATCTGCTGTTCTTGCAAGTATTTGAGATGTAGCTCTGTTTTTGGAGTCGTGGATCTTAGAAGCTGGCCTACCGCTGTGGTTCGTCTCACCCCAGAGCACTCGATTTTGCTCCAGTTGGCTGTCTAGTTAAGAAGATGTTTTGTCTCTGGAAGACAAGTACTGAGAAAATTAAAACGTAGAAATAAAAGCCGTAGTCTGATTTTTGACCACATCTGCAGTCTTGGAAAGTACAGAGTGTATTCAGGCTTATTCTGAGCTTCTGTCTTTGATGAACTTCCTGACAACACTGAATAAACTGATGTCTTTCCTGGAAGAGGGTCATGATTGGGCTTTTTGGGTGTGATGAAGTGTATATGAGATTGATTTCTCCCTTTGGTTTCCTTTTTGAGCAGAGATGAGATTTTGGAAGAGAGGGCTTTCCGAAGAGGTTGTCCCTATTGCCTTGGCATCATATTTCCTTTTTAGAGCCACAACAGAATCTTCAGAGGGAAAAATAGATGGAATGTTTCAAGACTGACCAAGTCAGAGGTACAGTAGATAGTAAAAGGGGCACCAGCCAACCAGACGGGATGCTCCAGTGGCCCCGAATGGCAGTGGTGTTGCCCCGAGATAATTACAGCACAAGGATGAAGCCTCACCACCCTCATTCGATCATACTTGGTGAGAGGAAAGGGAGCAGAGTCCTGCAGCCTGGTGGCATGATTTCTAACGTTGTTGATATCATATTCTTTGATTCTATGGACGGTAGTGTGGGAGATGCCTTCTTGTGCTGTTGAACCCCGGTGAAACGTTGACTGTGATGTTCATGGCTTTCACGTCTTTCTCAGTCTATTCTACGAGAGTGTCTAGTAGAGAGCAGGCAATGAATGTATGCATGCAGCAGTAGAGAATGTCTGCATGTAACTGATTAGGAGGCATGAGGCCCTTGTGTGAGATGTTTCCTTTGGTAGCTGGAGATAACATTTAATTAGAAGAGCTTTAGTGGGCTGTGCCTTCCTTTTTCTTTCTTGATCCTGAATTTTTTTTTAAATGTTTATTTTTGAGTGAGAGAGAGAGAGAGAGAGAGAGAGAGAGAGAGGGAGGGGCAGAAAGAGGGAGACAGAGGATCCGAAGTAGGTTCCAGGCTCTGTACTGACAGCAGAGAGCCTGATGCGGGGCTTGAACCCATGAACTGTGAGATCATGACCTGAGCTGAAGTCGACGCTCGACTGAATGAGCCACCT